TAAGTGAGTTATTCAAACCGTAAGACTCTATAAATAGGACAGCTTCCAGGATAGCAATAGCTTCAACGGTAAATACTCAGGCTAGTGGAGGCAATTTTAAACTCAAAATTATTTTTTGTGCCGGAAACTATACTGCAGCTTCAATGGATCCTTTATCGTGTAGTCGAGCAGCATCTGTGTATAATGGAGTCCAATTTTGCCAGTGTGTTGAGAGGTTGTTTAAGAATGTCTGAATGGCAATTGGGGAATCTTTCTCAGCAACAAAATTAAGGCTAACGGGCGGAGTGACAGTCAAAGAGTCAAAACTGTTCATAAAAAGAGGCTGACAAGGAAATTGTTCGATGGGGATCGATGTCGGATTAAATTTGTTATAGCTATGTAGGATGCAGGGGATGTTGTTTGAGGAGTTAGATTGTGATAGAGACAGCTGTGATAATATTGTTAATTTCCGCATTAATGAGTGAGACGAAAACGGAAGAATTTTAAGAACAAATTAATCGCTAATGTATTGCCTACGTAAATATAGGGGTGGATCAACGCTTTCAAATTGGAGGGCGTTGATGGGTGAAGATTTCATAGCACCAAGTATAATGCGCAAACATTTGGATTGAATTTTGGAAATTTTGTCTAAAGGGAGTTTGTTACAAGGGTCCAAGAGAAAGGTACCATAGTCCAGATGGCTGCGGACTATGGCATTATATAATTATTTCTGGGTATAAGGGTGGAAGCCACCATAACCCAGAGAGAGCTCTTAGAAAGTTGACGCTCTTTTCACATTTCTTGATTACATTTTCGAAGTGGGAACAACCAGAAAGACGTGAGTCCAGGGTGACGCCTAAAAACTTGACTTGGTTGCACAGTGGGTGTGCTTTCAAAAAACATGTTTGGCGATGGCATGGTTCGTATTTTGGTAAACAGATAGTTAAACACTGTATAACAGGATTTAATAATGGACAGTGACAATCCATGATCTGTAAGCCAGTCACTTAGGTACGACATTGCTAAATTGAGGCGAGTAGAAGCTTCGGAAATGCTTTTGCACCTAGTATAGAGAGCAACGTCGTCTGGAGGACTTGGCAAAAGGAGTCAACCGTTTTCTCGAGGTCGTATGTATACACATTATACAGAAGGGGACTAAGGGGTGACCCTTGTGGGAGGCCCTTCCAAAGCATTCTCGGAGGAAGCGAGATACCCTGATACTTGATCTCAATAGTTCTGCAGGATATTGCATTCAGGATAAAACGAGTCAACTTCACTGGAACACTCAGCTGCTGCAATTTATGCCTGAGTACCGGAAGGAGAACGTTGTCGTAAGCGGATACTATGTCGAGAAATAAACCCACTTCATACTCCTTTTTTATAAAAGCTATCCGGATGTCTGTGGTTGGGATGCTAAGATTATGTAGAGTGCTACTACCCTTCCTAAAACCATACTGTGATTTAGCTAGGAGGTTTTGGCTCTCCAGTAGCCACTCCATACGGTTTCTGATCATGTGCTCCATAAGTCAATTTTGCAAGGATGCTATCGAATGTCATAAATCGTGTAGCCATCTGCTCAATTGCTACCCAAGTAATAGGAAAATATTGTAAGTTATAATTAATATGTTACAGGTTATAAATGTAGATGTAGCTCATAAAATACTTAAATAAGATGCACTTAATTAAATGCTTCAACTGACGTTTGTTGCCAAGTTTACCGACTTTCCTGAGCTACCTTCAAAAACTTTTCAAAATCGGTTGGTGACAATGGTTGCTTTCCAATTACAGCATTATTGCGCATTATGCGGCATAATGCTTAACGTTGAGTGTTCCAATTACAGCAACGCTTCGCACAATTGAGCACTCTCAAAAGTGATGCTTTCGTGTGATGCGTGCAATGGTACCAACTTAGAGAAAGAAAATTAACAAGTGTTTTTTCTTTAAGTTGGCATTGATCGAAATGTTTTATTTATATGTTATCGTTAGTAATATTATTTATTGTTGAAAAATTATTAAAGCTTTCGTTTCATTAAACAGTTTTTTTTAAATAATCAAAGTTCATTCAAACTGTTAAAAAATAAATATAAGTATGGATGAAGGTACAAACATCGACTTTTTTTCTCAACACTGAACTTAGCGCACTCTGCTGGTGCATTTGAAAACTAATTCACGTTCCAATTAAGTATCAGCATAATTGGGCATTGTGCGGCACTGAGTCGCATTATGCTCTGTAATTGGAAAGCATACAATACTTTTGACTTTAGGCCAATATATCCATCAGAACGTCACTTTAGAAATGTCGTCAAGTAACTATATGTTTATAAATCAACTGGCGGCAACAGCCTATCTCGCGTTTCGTGCCTCGATAAGTATTTCCGGCGGGGTTGAATTAATATTGCGCAAACATTAATGATAAATGTGCGCACAGGTTCAATAATGGCACAGGAATCATTTTAATAAAAATAGAACCGACTTCAAAATAACTAAAAATTGTAAAATCAGATTTACCGACTGATATATTTGAAGTCGATCAGTATTATTATCAGGACCTCCCTACTAAACACAATGCCTTGGTATCGACTTCAAGTATATCAGTCGTTGAATCTTATTTTTTAATAAAAAAATTTTTTGACGTTGGTTCTTTTTTTATTGAAAATCCTTTCATTTTTCCTTTTTTTTAGTGTTATACAGAATACGCTACTAGTTGGAAATTGTACACGCGTAGATCCACACGGGTAAAACCGTGGAACATTGATAGTAAACTACACAGAATGGACCAACTAGTGACGTCAACAATTTGTTTTTAGATTCCTCGCACCTGGAGGTATCCGAAATTACCCCATGTATGTTCCGCGATTTTTCTTAGTTTTCGAGTTATTACTCAAAAAACTACGTTGGAATTTAAGTTTTTAGAAGGATTTACTCAAACATTCAACTTCAATTTAAAAATACAAAAAAGGATTTTTATATAGCATCTGGTTAAGTTTCAAAACTCCGCATGCTTCTAAACTACCAAAAATCATAAAAAAATATGTACTTAATCAGCCTATTTTTGTTGTAAACACGTAAACTAAAAATCATTGAAACACGATTAAACCATTTAAAATTATTTTATTTACTTTTTATCATTGTTATGGTAAATTAAACTTGAAAACTAGCTTTAGCATGTGTAATTTTACAATAATTTCAGTTTCTGAAACCGAAGGCCAATTACAACAAAAATAGGCTAATTAAGTACTATTTTTTTTATGATTTTTGGTAGTTACTTGCTTCTAGCATGCGGAGTTTTTAAACTTAACCAGAAGCTATGGCAACTCCTTTTTGTATTTTTAAATTGAAGTTGAATGTTTGAGTAAATCCTACTAAAAACTAAAGTTCAACTTTCAAGCCTTTTTTGAGTAACTTAAAGTAATTTCAGGAAGCTGAGTTATTTTTTTTATTAAATCAACATTCAAGACAATTATTTCACAAAAAAAAGACTGCAAACTACCTCCTACGAAAAAAGATATGAATTTTTGAATCCTCGCTGGCAGAAATCATTAAAAATACACAAAAAAAATAACTCGAAAACTAAGAAAAATCGCGGAACATTAGATGGGGTATTTTCGGATATCCCTAGGTGCGAGGAATCAAAAAAAATTGTTGACGTCACTAGTTGGACCATCCTGTATGTACAGTATATCCTGTATGTACTAAAACCTTCTCAGATAAATACGCATTTATATGCTGATTACCCCATACAATTCGGATCCGTAGCTTTGAGATCATCATGGAAAAACATATGTAATAAATTATGTACATACATACAGGTCAAACTGAGAACATCCTTATTTTGAAGTCAATTAAAAGACTGTGTAGCCGGAACAGCAGCAATATAAAAATAAAATAAACTATAAAATGAAATGTTTATTTGTCATCTTAACCATAAAATAATTAGTATATGAAATAACAAAAAAATACACCATAGGTATGGTAGTTAATATGCTGAATTGTGAAATTAAAACGGTGTAATTAATAAGAGTCAGTTAACAAATGTGTTGAAAAAAATGTTATTAAAAATAATAGCTGAATATATAAGGAATAAAAGGTAGATTACAAAGTTAAACGCTGAATAATATATATAACTAGGTTAAGTTTACACACACCATACACCCTCAACTTAAATAAAACTCTAGGTTCCAGTACGTTTCTTTACTCATGTAGTTTCAGCATGGTTCCAGTACCCGAACATGTAGTGCAGTCATTGAAGCATTATTGCTCCGAATTTTTTTACTGTGAACCGAATTGTTATCAATTTTGGAATTAGGTTCATCTTACCCTTAACTTCAAAAGTGAAAATGATTTGAACTCCGCCACCCCTTCTCGGGGGTGATTTTTTTTCAAAATAAATTTCGCGTTGGTTGCAGATGATCAACTCAAAAGGGCAAAGTTAAGCTTTCATTGACTGAACTGGACTGTAACGCATCGGGTGATGACCGAAAGGAGACCCGGCACTTTTCATAGAAAAAATGCTAAACTTGTATACAGTTGAATTTGGTCTCAAAATAAAGCCAAGATTATTTGCTACATAAAACTACTTTTGCCTTATTTTTAGTGAATCGTGGTAAGAAGTTATTTAATGATTAATATTTTTTGATATAGAAACCCTTTTGATGACAAACCTACGTATTTGACATTGCCAGCTAGCTGCTGATGACAAATATTGCCAGACTACGTTACCCAATTATGAAACACAGATAAAAAAATTAAAAAAGTATACAACTTTGGCACGAAATGCCGGGTGTCCTTTAATAGTCCTTCGCGCACCCGAAAATGGGCTAACGACCTAGTTTAATTGCACCTTGACGTTGAAGTGTTTGCAAGATCTTGTTACCAAGCAACGTATTGATTTACGTCAACATCTGAGTGAAATGGATTGATATTCAAACACATTAATTTAAATTATTGTACAAACAAGGAGTGCGAGTGTGTGGAAAAAGTTGCATAAGTTGTGTTTAAGTTATTAAATTCTTAAATAAATAATGGAAGATGAATACAGAATATTAAATTTATACAAATCCAAACAGTATGATGAATGTATAAAACTGTGTAGTTCCTTGCTATTTCGAAGGCATGACCGAATGGTAGAGTTTGTGCAAATGCGTGCAATGTCTATACAAGCTAAAATAATTGGGAATGGTTACGAAGAAGTTGAGTATTCTTTACAAAATGATGATTTATTATCAACTGCGGTTGCAAAAACTCCCCGACCGGGTACTACATTCGTAAAAACACCCAGAACTAATATGCAATCAAAAGTAAGTAGATTCCTTTCTAACATTTGTATTTTAACAGTTTATTTGAAGTATTGGTTTAGAACTTGGACTACCTACAATCTACAATCGTTTTTTGAAAGTTTTGGTTCAGTAACCGTATTTTAGGCAGATTCGGTCATGACGCGTGCCGGGCCGCTGAAGCACATTATAATAAAATAACAATAATAAATATTACCAACACTCACACCAATTAGCCTAGCCCCAAAGTAAGCACTCTAAAGGCTTGTGGGATGCTAGAGTAACGGATAGAATACATATATTGTACATATATTAGTATATTTTTGTATAGAAATGCATATTAAACATCCATGACAGGAGTACAAATATGCTCGTATTCATCACACAAACATCTGCCCGCACCGGGATTCGAACCCGGGACCTCTCGAGTCGGCGACACCATGAAACCCGGCGTACAAACCACTCGACCACGGAGGTCGTCAAAATAAATAATAAAAAACCCTGATCACTAAATTATACCTATATTAATTTAATTAAACTCTAAATATGTTAGTTCATCTTTATTGGAGAAATCGATCGATGAGCGACTTGCAATTTCGGTTGTGCAATCACTGACGTGCCTATTCAGTTTGGCTATCCGGTAGGACTGTGCTGTGTTGGATTCTTTTCTAGTTCTTTTACGGATTTTCTTATTGCTAATTTGATCACGTAAAGAAACACTGAGCATGGCTCTCCATCACTCGCTGTGCGACGCTGAGCCCTCTTATTAGGTTTATTTTCAAAAACTACGTTTCAACTCCGTGTGACATGACTGGCACATGCACTGTTCGAGGACCTTGGTCTTCAGGTACTGAGGTATTTTGGATGAGAAGACATCGCGAAGTTTCCTGCTGCACTGTTAAGTTGAATTCGGCGGTAAAACGGTAAACCTCTTTCTCGAGATTGAACTTACCCAAGTGGAGCATTTTGTCGCAGATTTACATATGTCAACAATTTCGAGTACAGAGATTATAAAAGTTTACCGTGTGAAGCGGAACATGAGCGTTTAGACATAATTTTCGTTTTACTAATGTTACTTTTAAGGCCCACCAGTTGGGAGGCTGTGCTAAGGTCCTTGTGCTTTGTATTAAGATCCTCTAAGCCAAAGTATCTACCGTAACGACTATATCATAAGCAAATCGCAGCAATTTACTCGCCGTTGATGTTAATAACAAGCCGGTTCCAATCAATCCTGAAACTTACATCTAATACGTCTTCCAAAGCAGCGGTAAATAGCCTCCAGCCCCTCTAGCATGACCACCGAAACGGGATATGATAAAGGTTTTTAACGAGTCTCAACTGTCAAACTCCACTGAATTCTGACAGTTAATGCCGATATATCGCTTTATCATATCCCGTTTTGGTGGTCATGCTAGAGGGGCAGGAGAATACTTTCGGAAGATAATTCTCCCTATCGCACTCCTCGCCGTAGTTGGCTAGGTGTCATAGTGAGGTCTTAAATACGAACTGTCATGGCAGCATTTTCGTTCAAACTCTTCAGCATTTGGATGTAGCGATAGTCGATGCGGCACATCTACAAAGATCTCGACACAGCCCATGTTTTAACCGGGTCAAAGGCTTTCTCATAGTCCACAAACACTAAGCATAGTTGCAAGTTATATTTATCGGTGTTTTGTTAAATCGCCACGGCGTTAGGAAGTGGTCCATGGTGTTGTAACCTTTCCGGAGTCCGACTTGTTTGGGAAGCTGGAAGTCGTCTCACCTGTTAGTGAGACGATTCGTAATGACTCCCGCAAACAACATGTAGATGTGGCTCAGTAGCGAGGTAGGTCTGTAGTTATTCAATAGGGAGTTGTAACGTTTTTTGAAGGAATGTACCACCACTGAAAGTTTTTTTTGTTCTGGTTTATCGCTAGCTTTAAGGAGTTCTGCTGTGATTTCGTCATCAGCTGGCGCTGGCGCCTTGTTGTTTGCTTTCAGCTATTTGAGAACCATGTTAATCTCGTATAGACTGACATACGTATATTCGGTACGATGTTGGGATAATTTGGCTCTGGGGTCTTTAGCCAAATCATCAAAAGAATTCAGCATCTATCAATTAAAAGCTTAAGAATATAATTATATATTATTCATCAACAGGTTTTTGTGTTGAAAAGTATAACTGTTCATGAAAGTATTCAACCTGTCATAAATCACAACCTTCGCTATAAGATGTTGTTTAGGAAACGTTAAAGAATGTTCCTTGCTGATGCTAGTTCTTCGTGAGTAGTTAAGGCTGCTATATCATCCGAAAAAGTCCTTCAAAAATCCTTGCTTAACCTAAAATATTTCCAGAATTATTTTTGTACTTTGTATAATAAACTCAGGTAAAAAAGGCGTATAGTCGTGTGAAGTGCTATCATATCAATAAAGAGGAAAAATCAATTAAAAATCTGGGAAATATCTAGGAATGCCTCGTAACCATATTTCTTCATCCCTGCGTCATAGTGCTATGGTATATAACCTGAGGGGGTCGGCTCAACTAGAGGGTGTCTCTGAGACTGAAACCTCGGCTCTAGTTAGCCGTTGTCGTGGGGGGCGGGGAAAAACGCCAAGGTACGTACCTGTACCTGGTATAGCGTGTCGTGTGTAGACCGGGTCTTGGCAGTTTTATCCTACAGGTGCGGTGTCTGCCTAATGCTAAGCAGTGTGCTAGCTGTGTAGTGATAGTGCTTGTGGCCTGTTTGGGAGGAGTCGGAGACGCGTTGGCGCGTGTGACTTCGTCGTCGGGGTACTCTAAGACCTGCCTAGGCCGACGGAATCGGAGGGACCTACGATACGTTAATATGTGTCTGGCTTTACCATCTATGAGTTCGCACAGTTGATGCAATAGGGATCAGATTGTCAAGAATAAAAGAGTGACCTAAGTAAAGATATATTAAACATGCAATTAATATTATGCAGTGTAGTTCCGACTTACAAATTAAACATTATATCTAGTTGCTAAGTACTAATATTAATAAAATTATATTTTCTAGAGTGCAATGAAAACTGGTGCATCAACGACGAAGTCGCGTGGTTATACGAATACAGCACGTGCGTTTAGTGCCAGGAGCGCTCTTCATACTGCAGCTCGGGCTTCACGGGCGGCCACTGCTTTGGCAGGGGTGCCCTTTGCCACCAATACACCACTCTCTCTTCGATATCTCACAAAGGAGGATAAGCTTTTTACTCCAGCAGCAAAAACTTTATTTGAATATGTATACTACAGCGAAGGCGACATTCGTAAGGTACCTATCTTTCCAACTTATTGTTGAGTATCATAAAATTATAGCTAACGCATGCCACGCTACCTTCAAATACTACAACACTGTATCACTACGTCGGTCGCGTGTCGGTAGCGTGGCGTACTTACGTATTAAGCCAGAAACATATAAACGTGTCATGGCGTGTAGTGAGTGACGCATCGGTCTCATACATTTACTATGGGTTAGAGAAAGAAACAGTCGACACGACATGTAAAAATGTCTAACCATAGTAAATGTTTGAAACCGTTGTGCTTCTGGTGCGCCACGACAAACACGTCAAGTTTATATGTTTCTGGCTTTATACATTACATTATTATATTTTTTATCGCTCTGGCCCGAAATGGCGAAATGTGTAGGTACGTAACGTATGATTATTATCAGTTTTATTATTTTTTCCAACTTTTCTTTTAGGCGATGGACATAGCATTTCAAGCACAGAAAAATGATCAAAATGTCGATTGGTGGTGGCATTTTTCCTTAGCTAGGTGTTACTTAGTATTAGGTATGCACAGACACAGCGAAGATTGCCTCCGACAAGCACTTAAACAAAACAAGCATATTGCTATATACCTCCGTTTAGTCGCAATGTACGTAAGTTTAAACCAACCGTTATCGGCACTAGAAGTTTGCAAACAAGGTTTGTCTGTGTTTCATGAGTACACACCATTATCACTTGAACAAGCCAGGATACATGATCAGATGGGAAATACCACATTAGCACTTAAGGAATATCGAACAGTGGCTTCAGAAGATCCATCTAATACAGAGGCAATTGCTAGTATAGCAACATTTAATTTTTATAATGATCAACCGGAAATTGCTCTAAGATACTACAGGTTTTTATTTATTTTTAGTTTTTTTTTTATAGATTATTATCACATCATCGGTTTTCATTTAAACTTTCTGTATACTCTTTTATTTTAGACGATTATTAGCAACCTCTAATCCTGGCCCAGAAATTTACAACAATCTTGGACTGTGCTGCCTTTATTGCAACCAATGGGATTTGATATTGCCTTGCTTCCGACAGGCTCTCTACTTTTCTACAAGTCCTGAAAATCGGTCTGATATATGGTTTAATCTTTCTCACGTTGCATTGGTATGTATACCGAAGTGGATCTATCTATGCCCCCCTAGCATGAACACCGCGCCGCGATATGATATACCTACAACGCGTTTTTATTCGCTCAATAGGCTAGTTGACTCATGTCGAATTGTATTAAATAAATGTTTATTTCTTAAAGTATTTGGTCTAAGGAACCTAAATATATCAATTTCACTTCATAAAAGCAGAATATTGCCGTAGAAATTTAATTTAAAAAAAAAAGAATTTTTAGTCTATTCTTTTTAAACACTAAAAACGCTGTTCGCCACATCCGACATGATTGTGACGTCTCTTTTAGTAAACAACTAAATGTCATTCATACATAACTTTAAAACTTGTATTATTAAAACTGATAATAAATGAAGAGACTTATAATATTATTCAATGAGTACTTACATCAAAGTGATCTTCGCAAAAATAAATTTCACTATGATTCGATAAAGTTGCAGGATCACTTTTAGCAAGTTCTAACCAGGTATTGCGTAGGTTAATTTCTTTCGGCACTCCACAACTTTCCTGGAGTCTTCAATGATGTGTTTTTATTTCTCGTACAATACAATAATGATAATAACTATATTTTTCGTGGTATCTATTAGAAATCATGTTTTTTGAAGTTATACTTCTTTAGGCGCGTTATGAAAAAATGATGAAAGTGAAATTTTAAGATGCGCGCGCATCACTGTAACACAAAATTTTAACAGCATGAAGTTGGTCTTCAACTTCATGCGTTACTTTTGTGTTTACCGCACATTAAGAAAATCTACCAACAAAATAGAAATAGAATCTCTATTTAGTGGGTGCTAACGACTGCATTGTGAAGGCCTATCAAAAGTATTTATTAATCTGGAACAACGGAACCAAAGCGCGATTCAGGAGACTACAGCGCCATCTCTTGACCATTGGTGTAGTAGAACCAACAAACCACATCTTTATTTTTTGTAATAAAGTAACAGTTATAGGTATTCATATTTATAATATTTATCCACATGTTTCTATCTAAAGAAAATATACCAGGCCAGGCAGCAGACGGGACTCGAACCCGCACCCTTCGCAATCCGGGCGAATGCACTGACCAATTATGCTACCGCGGCCCTCACGGACCGCGTCGAAATTCTTTCTAGCTATTCTTAAGCTGCAAGGCAGCGCCATCTCTTCGCATTATAGGTAAACCCACAATGTCAAATGAATACTTTTACAAGTATTAAACATTTGAAAGAAGAAATAGCAATTATAGTTATAATTTTTATTATTTTTAAAGCATGTAACTGCTTCATGTTTAAATCTAAAGAAAATATAACTAGAAAAAATTCCACGCGGACCAGGCAGCAGACGGGACTCGAACCCGCACCCTTCGCAATCCGGGCGAATGCACTGACCAATTATGCTACCGCGGCCCTCACGGACCGCGTCGAAATTCTTTCTAGCTATTCTTAAGCTGCAAGGCAGCGCCATCTCTTCGCATTATAGGTAAACCCACATGTTTCTAGTTTGTATTTTCGGAATACGTGTTTGAGTTTCATACAAGTGCAAATCACATATGTTCTAATAAATTATATTCAGTAGCGATTTTAATTGAATATTTTGATTATTTATTTATTTTTTCAAATTAAAACTGAACTTTATTGACTGTGTCCTTTTCCAGACTTTTTATTAATTTATTTTTATTATAAACTCAGATAGGTTATTTTCTACGTGCTTACGAGTTTTTGTTTACTACCGTCGACGTCATAGCATAGATAATCTATAGACTAAAATGGCCGACAGCGTTTTTGTATGTCCATGAAAAGTCTATTTTAAAATTAAAGATTTGTAGCTTTCTAGGTCTCAAAAAAATACAATACATTTTTTCGGTCTAATAGAACATTTATTAACCATTTAAAACCTTTTTCCAAAAAGGGTCAACTAGCCTATTGTCAAATTACTATGGAGTTTGACAGCTCGACGCGTTAAAAAACGTGATATTATGTTTAATTGTGATGCTCATGCTACAGGGAATGGACCAATACAAATGTTTTAAAAAGCATGTATAAAAAAAAGTTTGTTTAAAATGTAACGTTAAGTTTACGCTACTACTAACATTGGTAAACTACTTCTACTAAATAACATTGCGACACCTCCTACGTATAATATCGTAAGTTTATTTGATCAACTTTACAGTACAGCAATTTTAAGATTCGCATGCACATTATTGGTTCCCACGAAGACAGGTATTCTTGTACGAGAATCAAAATTGGCATACGCCTATATATTTATAATTGGAATGTAAACTTTCATAAGATTACTTGAACTTTTTGGTGGATTTCTTTAAAAGTCACATACGGTTTTTTACATTGGAAAAAATCAGTAGTATTTTATTGTATATATGCACTTCCCACACTTAACACTGAACTTTGTTAATGGTTAAATATCGTATGATATAATTACAATTACTTACATCGATATCTCAATAGTGATTTTCAAAATCTGTGAACTTATTATAGAATGCTTTTCTACGTTTACCGGTATCGATAGACATATCGCTTCGCAAGCAATAAATTAAGGGAAAATTTAAATTAAATAGCTGGAATTAAACTGAAAAGTATTATATTTTGCAATCACAGCCTTCAACATCAACATTGGTTTCTCAAAGGGCTAAGTTAAAGAGTAGTATTTATATTATGGGGGCTAAGTATTCAATTATCAAATAAAAGTTATCAGCTAGTAGAAAATTTCGATGCTCGAATAAAACTTATCAGTCAGTTAAATTCACATCTAAAAAACATTATAATTATGTCAATAACAAAACAAGATTGATACGAATGACATGTAATAATTTTTATTTGAGCATTGACCAATCAGCCCAAAACTTAAAAATAATAATTAAAATATTTTTTTTTCCTTGGGAATAGGCAGACAGGTTTCATAAAGTGCTTCTACATTAGAAACACTTTGTCTCCTGGATGCCTTTACACATAAAACATGATAATCATCCACAACTAAATCATATTTATAAAATAACTTATAGGGATCTTCCGGTTTTACAAGGACTTCTCTAATTTCATTCCATTGCACTTTATCCCCATTAGTGCTTTTCACCCAATTTCCTTTTAATAAAGCTTTGTAATTAAAAAAGTTGGTAAGCTGCAATTCTTCGACAACGTAAGGCTTTCCAGTTTGTTTAGCCCAACGAACTAAATAATACCACTCAAATGGTGTATAAATAAGCTTATTCTTTTAGTTTTCTCAATTAATGCGTGGACGCTGTCACCTTTACTTTGGGTATGACCGACTTCTAAAAAGCAATGATGAATAGTGACTTCAAATGTAATAGCTGCGTGCATATACATACCATAAACAATTTGATTTCGGTTCTGGCCTACACAATAGTCCGACCAAAACCGAAATTCACGTGTGCCTTGACCCTTGTATTTAGCTATATACTTTTTAAATAAGCAACTAGCAACTTCATTGGCTCCACGTCTCCCTTGTCTTTCTTTCCAAAAAATAGCAGTTTTAAGTATTTTTTATTTTTTTTGCGCAGAGTTACCACTTCCGTTCGACGCAAACATTGCAGGAATAAATGAAACGATGGATTTGTTAACTGATTCTGAGGAAATATTTGAAGTAAATAATGTTTCGCTTATGGAAAAAAGTAAGTAAAAGTAAAACTTGCAATAACATTCTAATACTATAATGTATTACTTTTACTATGTTTTATTTCAGACAACAAAAAATATTGTCATAAAATCACATATTTCGTTCTTCTTTTTAGGTCCTGATGATGAGTCTTCAGCGATTATTGCCTTTCACGGTTACCTAAATCCCAAAACCTCCCCATTATTCTCTCCTCATTACTACTATTTTAGTTGAACATTTTAACATGAATTTCGTATGACATATAGGTCCCAAAGATTTACCACACCTAATAGTACCGTCGCGACTCTTATACGCCTTGCCCAAGTTTCATAGTATTTTTCTTTTGTTGTCTTTCCATTCAGTAACATGACGACGTCTGATATTTCCCTTGACCTTTCTTGGGTTGTTCTTTCTTTTCCTAGAAGTTTGCGGTGTCGCTTCTGAGAAAGAAGATAAAGGCATTTGCTTGCGGAGTATAAACCAGTTTAAGTTGCATCAACAGATTGTAGTGGTGAAATATCTTTTTCAACAAACCAGGGAGAGAATTGGTTTTCACAATCAAAATCTAGATGATTTATTGTACAGTCTGGCGAAGGATATCGCGCAATGCTCTCAATAATTGCTGAAGACTCATCATCAGGACCTAAAAAGAAGAACGAAATATGTGCTTTTATAACAATTGTAAGGTTTTATAATTTCTAAAATAAATTATGTTAAAAGAAAAAGCATTTCAGCTATTAATTTTCTTAAAAAAAGTAACAAATATAATTAGTCAATTCCATACTCTAACTATTATCTTAAAATGACCAAGGAACTCAACCATAGTAGTCAAATGTGAGTTTTTTTAACTCTTACTTCACAACTTTGTTATTAATTTAATAAAATTAGTTGTTGAAATAACAATTATAATGAGTCTTATAAATTATAATTAATTTTAGGCTAAAATATATTTTGATCAGTTCGCAATTTTGATGCAATAAAATAACATTAATATGATTGTATCTCTTTTCCCGCGTGGCGCGTTTTGGCGCCAATGCGCACGCGCGCCATACGGGCAGAGAGTATAAAACGGAGTGCATTTGGCTGGTAGGTGTCTTTTCTCATCGAAGCGTTGCGGGTATAAGACCTCAGTGATTGTTGTGTAGAGTGATTAATAAAAGAAAAAGTGTAAAGAAGCGTTATTATATCGGCGAAGCCCTACACAATATTGTTTTTGACTGAAATAAGACATAGTAAATAGTATATTTCATTACTAGTACGGAATGGTTGTCATTGCAAAGAGTTCCGACAAATGTCTACCCGAGCCGAAGGCGAGGGTTGACAGTCGGAACGAGTTGCAATGACGGTTCCGTACGTGTACTGAACGACTATTTTTAATACAGTTGCGAAAAAATTAAGCAATTTAATCAAATTATAAAAACACAATAAACTCAATTAACTAATCATTTATTTCTTATAAAAGTTATAATTCACATATACATTGAAATTGGTACAGTTTTTTTATACTAACTGGGGAAGTTTTACGTTGCATATTTACTGTTTGAGACAAACTATTATTAATTTCGTATGATTGTTCATGTATATTTGTCATACAATGGCGTTTGCTAGTTGATGGAATTGGATCTGATGAATTATCATTATCAACGAAGGTACTCGTAGATGGACGAACGTTCTCTTCAGCATGTGAAGGAGACGGACTGGACCTTAAATTAATGGATTGTGTGATCTTTTTCCCAGTTTCTAGTTTGTTGTTTAATGAATCACCAATATAGCTTTCTGCAACTTTGTCCGATTTCCAACCACCTAGTCGCTTTAAGGACGTCAAATTGGCTCCTAAATCTGCCAATAATGTAGCAGAGGTCCTTCTGAAGCTGTGCCCAGTATAACACTCGGCATCCGGCAGACCAAGAAACGTAGCTATTTCTTTTGGCATATTACCAAATTTGTTTATACCGATTACTTGAGCTGTACACTACCCTTTTTGGAAATTTTGAAAAAAAAAACGGTCGGATTTTCCTTTTTGGGACCGCTGGTTCATATATTTTTTCACTATTGTGAGAAAATCTCCTTCAACAACAAAGCTTCGCGGTATCTTATTTTTTGTGTTTGGAATCTTGATAAGTAGCATTTCTCCATGGGCTTCAATATCTTTTAAAGTAATATTGGCTAACTCCTCTCTGCGGCAAGCTCCAACAACGCCAAAAATCAGAGCAACCTAAAAAAAACGATTTGATTCATATAAATAATGTATTGACTGTATTTTGCGATTTTGTAAACTGAACACTAAAGAAAAATGTAGATATGTATACTTATTAATAAATTACCTTTGTGGCTAAATAACAATCATCGGGAGCTTCTTTCAAAAACCTTTCCACGTCATTCGATGTTAATATTTTCGACTTTTTATTGGTAAACCCGTCTGATTGTCGTTTTAAGAAAGAATTTAATTTTGGATATTGACATATCCACGTTGTTCCTTATTTTCAGCATACTTTTTATCATCGAAAACCTTGACCATAACGTAGAAGGTTTTAATTTTGCTGAGAGTTCGGAAAAGTATGCCAACATAACATTTTCTGAAAAACTAATTGCTTTTTTCTCTTCTTTCAACGCAATAAATTCATCGTATGTAGATATGTAGCGAATTTTTGACTTTTCCGGTAAAATGTTCTCCGAAGCATTTTGTGCAATTATACTGAGTTCCGGTGGAGTTAATTCAAAAAAATTTAGGTCGAAATTACTCATTTTGTGTAAAAAACAACTAAACTCGCAAAGAAAATTTCGGAAAATGGCGCCAACCGTAGAATGTAAGCAGTTTTTTTTCACCCATTCTGGTAGGCAAAGGGAACTGCCCATACAGCCAAGTCTTTAGTACTTAGTATTTTTTATTATAAGAAATGAAATTGAAATTTAATGATATGAAATGAACTGAAACCTTACCTAACTCATTCAATCAATTAATTAATTCTGATATTGGACAAATTAGTATAGGTAGCTTCTTTTTAAAAACAAATAAACCTATTTGCATGAATCGCAAAAACTTCTATGATTTTTTTTAGTTAAAACTTCATGGTTGTTTTTTTTAATAGAAATAATTTTGACAGTTGGGAAAGAAAACGCACGAGTTCGGGAAAGGCAAAAAAAAGCACGAGTGTGAAATAGCCCAGATCCCGAACGCTACACGTCCCTGCAATACGCCACTTTTTGAGCAACTGTATTAAAAAGTAATATATTATAGTATTAGAACGTTATTGCAAGTTTTACTTTTACTTACTTTTTTCCATAAGCGAGACATTATTTACTTCAAATATTTCCTCAGAATCAGTTAACAAATCCATCATTTCATTTATTCCTGCAATGTTTGCGTCAAACGGAAGTGGCAACTCTGCAAAAAAAAAGTACTTAAAACTGCTATTTTTTGGAAAGAATAATATCGTAAATTATTGGTTGTAACAGAGTACAACATACTAAGTATCACAATAGAAAAATACGTTGACATTTCAACGTACAGTATCGGAAGTTTAAATACGACAACCATTTATATTTTTATCCCATCGTATAGTATCGTATCACTCATCACTTAAGATAGTTGAAAAGTATCTGATATCGAAGTATAGTATAGTAAGTCATACTTACGATATTTTACTATGGGAACTATACGATTTTAAGTTATTATATAAACATATTGATTTTAATATTAGAAAATACCTATTTACCCTCAATCCTCATAGACTCTTCAACAAAAGCGTTGTCGGTAGTGTCAACGGAACAACGGAACGGTCAACTGTTTTTGTGAATCCAAGTCATAATTTCTAGTCGCTGCTTCAATCTTTCGTCGCGATCTCGACGACATAATTATGGTTTAATATAACACTGTAGATTATTTTATGACAACAGAGTGCTAAATAACAAAATATGCAAACGTAAATAGCGCGCGACAGTCACCCTCGCGTACTCAATGGTTACTAACACTTACGATTCGGTTGCGCAGCTCAGCGATGCCCCCGCCCCCGCGTATCATATGGGAAGTGTGCTATACCACATATTACTTCGGGTGAGATGAACATACGATAGTTTGTGGTCTTATTATCTAGTGTTTTATTGCAGATATTTTTTTTGGATCAGTTCAGGCGATAATATACCATTAATTATGTAAAGCTGTAATAAAGTAATTTTACACATTTTGTTGGTTACGATACTATACCTAGGAGGTGTCGAGTATCGATTTTGCCATGATTCTCTAACCCTAACATTAAATTTGGCAACAATTGTGTCCTTGTCATTCTCTACAAAGAATAAAAAGGAGAGACTGATGGTAATTTAAAGCTTAGAGAACCATAACATTGTAAATTTATTTTCAATTCATTATATGAATAAATAAAATAAGCAAATCTAAAGTATGGCCAACGAGAAGCGCTACAAGAAGCCAATGCAGGGGCTGGTAACATTTTTGAAAATATTTTTTTATTAATGAAAATTAACATAGGGCTCTTATCATTTTAATAAGAATAAATATCAATAAAATGAAGCGAACTGTTTTAATTGATATTTTAAAAGGCTAAAATTACTTAGCCCATTTTTAAAATAAGGACCACAAAGTAACATTTTATAATAACTTTTTTATTTATTTGAATTTATTTAAAAACATTTTAGTTATTACCAGGAGTAATATCAGAAAGACGCGCTTCAAAATGTAAATATGTCATTATTTTTTTACTATAAATTAGCTCTGAATGTTGACGAAATCGACGTCTCGGCGATCAGTGACATGAGCGAATGAGACCTATTGTCATTTAAATAAGATGAAAAAGATAGTTAATAGACTGTCAATCTCATAGTCTCGTCTTAGGTGAATAAATATAGCATCGCTTCTCGGTGGCCGTATAAAAAAAAACCTTTACCTTGCAATTACCCGTCGTATATTATAATTAATGCTAAAGAAATAATATTATTGTTTAGATATTGCTCTCCCATCACTGTATGATCAGATTTACTAATCTCTTTCTTTAACTGAGCTGAGCTACTACACTCGGCGTCAAAAAAAATCACACCTCCGCGAAAGTAACTTTCAAGCATTAATAACCCTTAACACGCGCATGTGCCCCCACCAATATTGTGTCATTTGAAAGCCCATTAAATAAACTTAAATAACAACACATTTCATTTCATTCAAAAAAAGCTTGATACCACAAATGTGAAAAAATGCCAATTTTGCTCCTCAAAAGGGTGACTTTTTGTTGTTGTTACGTTACCTTTCGTGTCCTCTGCAACCGTTTAACTGGACACACGAGAAGATCTTTTACAAAAAAACATCTTGAAGATGAATACCACTGCTGATGAAGCCGCTCAAGTGATTGCACTACTACAATCAGGGATGCGGCAATGTGATGTGGCTGGCAACTGAACTTGAGCCGTTTTTCGATTCGAAGAGTATACTAGCGGTTCCGGGAAACCTGTAGCCATGTCCGGAGGCATGGGTCTGGTAGACGTCACTGCCTCTACCTCGGAGAGTCGACCGATTCATTGTATCGACATCTCTAAGAAATCGGTTCTCTAATGCTGTTGAGTTGCAACAGCAGCTCCAGGCAGCTCGCAGAACAACCGAGAGCGTTTCTACAGTTAGACGAAGACCGAGGGATAAGAAGATAGCGGCTTATAGAGCTGCTACCGGTCCAAAATTGACCGCAGAGCATCGGCGAGCCCGCTTGCGGTTTGCTCGCGACCACGTCAATTGGACCCTTGAACAATAGAGAGCTGTTCTGTCACTGACTGTTCAATGGAAGTCATAGAGATCCTGGAACAGCATGTGGTCCCCTAGGCCGGTTTTGTAGCGAGGGTTTCATATTAATGCACGATAACGCTCGCGCTCACACTGCATTAATTGTGCGCGACTACCTTCAAGAGGTTGGGGTCTCTGTCATGCAGTGGCCAGCGAGAAGTCCAGACCTGAACCCAATAGAACACCTCTGGGACCATTTGAAACGCAGGGTTCGGTCTCGTGATTCCACTCCTACGACTCTCCAGGAGCTGAAGAGGCCATTATTGAGGAATGGCCAGTATCCTTCAAGAAGAGCTCCTTAAATTGGTAAGATCCATGAGAAAGCGTATGGAAGCCTTCATCCGGGAAAGGGGTAACCCCCCACCTCACTACACTAGGTTTTAGGTTAGTTTTTAGAACCTTTTTGTATTTTTTCTTGTGTTATTAATCTGTTTTTAATTAAAGACTAATTAAGGATTTTTATTGTTTTGTACACTTTATTGTTTATGGCACTGGGGGCCAATCGCCTAACGGAAATGCTTTGGAAAACGCTAACGCTTACGATTTTATATTGTTATTTCTAGCCGCCTGAGGTATTCAAATGCCTCGCGCTCTTTCTTTTTCTTTTGCATTGGTAATAACAATATTAAAAAAAATGAGCGTGAGGTATTCGAAAACCTCAGGCGGCTAGAAATAACAATATAAAATCGTAAGCGTTAGCGTTTCCCAAAGCATTTCCGTTAGGCGATTGGCCCCCTGTTCCTAAAAATAAAAAATATAGATTTTTTTTAAGTTTCTTTAAAGGGCTTTCAAAAGACACCAATATTGTTGGGGTAAATGCGTGTGTTAAGGGTTATAATAACGCCTGAAAGTTATTTTCACTGAGGTGCGTTTTTTTTAAAGCCGAGTGTATTTTGTGGTTAATCTGAGCGGCGGAGACGTGTACCTAAATGCGATTTGTGTTATACTTATGAAAGCTGCACGAAGATAAGTCATGTAGAGCTAATCTGTGTAGTTGGCAGAAGTTGAGCCTAGCGAAGCTGTATGAAGTGAAGATGAAAGGAGTGGGGCTGAGCTGAGTAAAAATGTGTTAATTGGAGATGTGAAGTAGAGATAGATACACAAAGCAGAGCTGTGAGAACATTTTACATATTTGAATTCATTTAAACGGTATTTTTAGACAGTGCGGACGCATTGTTGTCGCCATAGAGGTGGTTGCTATGCAAAAAGAAAGCTCCACTCCACCCTGCCCGTTCCCAATCCGCCTCGCACAGCTATACTGTGTTCCACTCCGCCTGAACGCAGCATGAACAACGCTCCGCTCGCGCTCAGCCGGCTTCGCTTACTTTTTTGACAGTTACTGTGTGTAACTAAAGAGAAAAGTGCATAGCTAACATGCTTTTCAGAACGTCTTAGTCGCGTTATAATAAAGCAGTAGTAGAACACTAAATAGGTCGGTAATTATTACTTTCATCTGTCAAAAGCAGTTACCGAATTGGTCTACTAGACAGCTAAACTTCGCGCGCTATACATTGTTATGTCCTTCTCAACTCCACTAAGTGAGGCTGTACACCAGAGCCATTTCTATAGCAATGGTTGCAAGGTAAATGTTGCGTGCTTGTACCATGCACGCAACATTTACCTTGCAACCATATGCTCGCTAAATTTTTGCTTTCGTCTCACTACTAAATGTAGCCGCTACAAATGTGTCCTTCCTTGGTGTAAGTGCTTGCACACAGATATATGAGGGTATTAAATGTGTCGCGTTTCAAATGTGGTGCCCACGGAGCACCCCCACTAGAGTCCGCATACAAGGGCAAGCGCTTACGCCAAGCTTAAGTAGTATTTTACCTATGCGTGAGGCACGCCTACAGACGTCGCGATACATCGTTTCATTCGGTAAACGAGCGTTGGTCGAACTGCTTCTCTCGTTTTCGTGTTAAAAAACTGTAAAAAATGCCGTACTGTGCAATTAAATTGTGTGGAAAGTCGAGTACAACTTCCAGTCTTAAAAAAATGGTATTACTTTTCACTGGTTAGTTTAAATGCATTACAAAAAGACAAAAATACTGTTATATTAAATTGGTGTTAGTTGTATTTATTTCTTGGTGAACGCGTTGATGTCTTTTTACACTATCCCTTTCTCGCATGGGCTACATCATATATGCTATCTCGCTCTCACACCGGCACGTGTATTGCTAGTGACTCAGTCGCAGCTCATGTCTCAACGCGTAAGTTTATCGATAAGTTTGTCAGCTATGGAAATTGAAAAAATAAATAAAAACTATTTATTTCATCGTATACAATAATAGATGTCATGAGTATACAACCAACAGCTTTTATTTGACTTCAAACATATCCTAATATAATTGAAAAAAACGCGAAAATTTGTATGCATATTTGTTACTCATTCACGCTAAAACGGTTAAACGGATTTGTATGAAATTAAGTGCGCATAGTTTATGACCTAGATAAAGACATAGAATTAACGATATTAAATACCCTAGAAATGGTCTAAGAGCTGGCTACGAAAACGTGAACTGATAAGGTGTAGTAACGAATTATATATATAACCTCTCCTTGGAAGGTGATAAGTACAGAGCGAGGCCCGTCAGAACTCTCTCCCGGGGCGGAAGGCGTGGGTGGGCGGTCAAAATCGTAAATTTTCAATAAGAAAAAAATGATAAGGTGCAGTTCTGAAATTTGGTAGAGTTATAGTTTTTAACTGTAGGAATCTAGGAAAATTATTGTCAGAAGTCTAAGTCGGGGCTTAAAGACTGTCAGAAGTCGACTAAGTTGTTAAGAAATTGTTTAAATTTAAACCACAAGGTGTAGTTCTGACAAATGCATTTTTATATTATTTGTTGCTTATCGAACCTGTATATAAATTGTCAGAAGTCTTAATAATGGCTAAGTACATAAAAATTGATGATATAGTCAGAAGTTGCTGAAGCGGCTATCGCGACGGAAAGCAACGTTTCGAATCTAGTTTTGAGTTAAAATAACAAGGTGCAGTTCTGACAATTGATTTTTTATATTATTTATAGCTTACCAAACCTGCACATATATTGTGCAAAAATTGTCGATTTGTCAGTCAGTCAGTTTTGGCTATCTATTGTTTTTATTATTTACACTGTTATTTCAATAAATATGCAATGACAAAAGGTTAAGCGAGGGAGATAAAAAAAATATAAAAACTGTGATGCCGAGTAATTGCTGACTTAGACGACAAACTTTAAAAAAAAATATACGTACCCAAAAAAAAAGTAAATAAATAATATGAAAACTTGCACTAAGCCTTTCACTCAAATCAAAACCTAAAACAACTTCTTTTATCACCCAGCGCGTAGACTTTAAATTACTAGACATAAGTATTCCTAATATAAATTTCCAGCCTATCTTAAATAATTTTGACACAAATTTAGCCACCTATCTTTTCGTTTCTTGTTTAACTAAATCAATCAAGGACTGTACTAAAGAACTAAAAACTCCAAAAAGAAAACATACCATAAAACCTTGGATTACTAGTGGTCTCTTACGGTGCATGCGAAACAAGGATAAACTATATAAAAAATATAAAGGTGATCCTGACAATGAAGTCTTTAAAACTACTTACAAACGATATAGGAACTTTTGTAATGCCATTCTCAAGAAAACCAAGAGGTTATACGATAGGGGTGAAATCACTAGGACGCAAAAGGATAAAAAACAGCTTTGGCAAGTTCTAAAAAACATAAGTGGGTCACATCGTACAGTCGATTACTCAACTTCACTAGTTCCCAAACATAACCCTCAACAGAAACTTAATGAAGTAAATAAATACTTCGCCAATGTCGGCAAAAAACTCGCCGAAAACATAATCCCCTGTAATGATACTTCATGCTACTGTCAAGTTCAAACAACGACGTCCCCTCCTGGTTGCCTCGTTATGTCACCTACGGATGAGCATGAAGTGGCAAATATCATATCCGGACTTAAAGAACAGTGTGCGGTGGGTACTGATCTTATATCAACCAGAATTATAAAACGATATGCTGAGCGTATAATACCACTTTTGACGCACATTTGTAACCTAGCAATTACAAATGGAGTGTTCCCCACAGCTTTCAAGGGTGGTCAAATCAAACCGATCTACAAAAACGGTGATAAGGGTCGTGTCGAGAACTATAGGCCTATCACCATCCTTTCTGCTCTCTCCAAAATTTTAGAGCGCATAATGAACAAGAGGTTAACAACGTTCTTAGAAGCAAATAACATCCTCTCTTTGTCACAATACGGTTTTCAAAAAGGAAGATCCACAAATGATGCTGTTAATGATCTTACGCAATCGATTGTGTCTAGCTTGGATGAGAGAAGGAAGTGTGTGGTACTTTTCCTCGATCTAGCCAAGGCATTCGACACGGTCTCCATTCCCCGGTTACTCTCCAGACTAGAGAGTTATGGAATTAGAGGCTTACCTCTCAAGATGTTTTCGGATTACCTTTCAAATAGGACACAGAGAGTTAAAATTGAACATTGGGTAAGTGAAGAATCGAGCATCTCTTATGGTGTGCCGCAGGGTAGCATCCTCGGGCCTACCCTATTTTTGGTTTACATTAATGAGCTATGTCAACTTCAGCTCACAGGGGGCAGAACCTTTACTTTTG